AGAATCAGAGGATTGTTCAGATGGGAAAAGTCCTCTAATATCACTGAGTCCAACTGTGATCCCAGCACTGCCATGGTCACCACTGAACCATGTCCATGGTGATTCCACCACTGCCCTGGGCAGCCTGTGCCTGGCCACCCTTTTGGTGAAGAAATCTTTCCTAATAGCCAATCTAAACTGCACTCAGTGCAACTTGAGGCTGTTTCTTCTTGTCCTGTCCCTGTTCCCTGAGGGCAGAGCCCAACTCATCCCAGGTCCCCCCTCCTGTCAGGAGCTGTGCAGAGCCACAAGGTCCCCCCTGAGCCTCCTTTTCTCCAGGCTGAGCCCCTTTCCCAGCTCCCTCAGCCACTCCTGGTGCTCCAGACCCTTCCCCATCTCCACTCCCTTCTCTGGACATGCTCTAGCACTTGAGGTGCCTTTCTTTTCATGAGGGGCCCAAAACTTTACCCAGCATTTGAGGTGGGGCCCCCAAAATACAGATTTTTGAAACATTCCAGCCCAAAGAATGTCCCTACACCAGTTTGGGGCTTCCCCCCAGCATTCCTGTAGCACTGAAGCTGTTAGAGATTGCTCCTGGATGTTCCTACAGTCCCTGCCCATCCAGTGCCCAAACCAAACTCACCCCTCACAGCAGGGACTACAGCTCAGTTGTTGACCACCGCACACTGGGAGACATAAACAAATGAGTAAAAAAGATCATTTTTATGCACCATCCCCACTCCACCCACCTGATTTCCCTTATTCCCATCAAGGGGAGTCAGCCCTGACAGGTTTGGGGACATTTGGCTGTTTCCCAGTGGTTTGAACCAGCATCCCAAGCCCTACTCCCTGCAGAGGGTCCATGGTGGCAGCTGCAGGGGTCACCCAGCAGATCTGGTCCCTGTGGCTGTACCCTTGCAGCACTGTCCCAGTGGTGTCACCCCACGGTGGCCATGCCAGAGCTGGCGACTGGCAGAGTCCTGTGCAAGAGCTGGCACCACCCCAGGGCCTCTCCAGACCTGAGAGCCCCAGACCTCTCCAGAGCATGTTTGACATTCCCAGCAGGGTTTGATGTGGTTGCTCAACCAAATTCCTTAAGGAAGCAGAGCTCAGGGCTGTGCCAGCCCATGTGGGTGAGGGGAGGCTTTTCCTGCTGCTTCCCTGGCTGAGTTTAACCCTGGCTTGTGGGAACTCAGCACATCACTCCGGATGTCCAGAGTTGCTGAGAGAACCCTTGGGGGTCTCGGAAATCCTGGAATGTTGCCAGGAGTGTTTGGTGGCTTGATTTTGATCCATCCACAGAAGTGACAGCAGTTTGAGGACATGAGAATCACTTTAGAGTGAAGGGTGTAAAAGGGACACATTTATAGGGTGAAATATAAACTTTAAGGTTTTTGGTACAGGGGGGTTATGGAGACAAGATGGAGGCATCAGGGCGTGTCTCGTCCTGCTTCTTTCTTCTTCTTGTCTTCCATGTCCTGTGGTGATGTTGGCACTTGGGGGTTGGTTTATGGTGAGGGTGCACTTGCTAATATGGGTGGAAGGTATTGGGAAATAAAGGTAAATATGATATATGTAGTTTTTAGTATAAAAAGACATGACCGCCCCGTGGGTGGGCAGAGTGCCCTGGGCTGCCTTGCAGGTCAGACCTCTGTTGGGCAGACAGAAAATTCCGTAGATAAGAAACAATAAACAATCTGAAGATCGAAAAGCTGAAGAGTCCAGACTCGTCCTTTGAAACGCGGGCAGCCCAAGAACCACCCTACCCGTGTCGGGGCAGAGACAGACAGACAGACAGACCCGACACTGGCTTACCAAGGAGCAGCACCAAGAGCTGCCACTGCCATGTCCCTCAGGGTTCCTGGTGCTCCCAGCCCCCAGGTCAAGCCTCCCTCTGGCTCTGGGTGGGGGCTGCTGTGGGCCTCATCCTCTGTGGGCTCCCACCTGCTGCAGGTGCTCCCATGGGGCCTTCTTGAAATCCTGGCACCCCAGTGCTGCCTGGAAATGTCAAAGTGTGCCCTGAAATGTCTCCTTTCCTTGGTCACTGATTACTTGGAGTCCGGGGGTGCTGTTGGAGCCTGTGGTTACCATCACTCACCTGAGAGCAAAGCTGTTACTCATTACTCAAAATGCTGGATTTTGGCACATGCTCTGCCTTTCCAAGGACCTGCTGAAGCAGTGCTGTGTTTGATGGCATTGAAACTTTCCAGCAGCTGCAAGTGAATTTGGAGCATTCTGGGTCTATTTACCACCACCAAAGCTGGTGTGTGCCACAACAGTGATATCTGCCACGTGGCCACCATGTTTTGTTCCTCCCATCCCAGTGAGTTGTTGCAAGGGGAGAGAATGGACTACCAGCCTGGAAAACCCCAGGCCAAAATTACAGTCATGTGCATAGGACAAGATCTTGTATCTTTATACCTAATATATTTTCTTAGATGTAAGAAAGGTTTCACAAAGAGGGAGGTGAGGCCCTGGCACAGGCTGCCCAGAGAAGCTGTGGCTGCCCCATCCCTGGAGTACCCAGGGCCAGGTTGGACTTGGAGCAGCCTAGGATGGTGGAAGGGGTTGGTACTAGATGGACTTGCAACCCAAACTGGTTTATGGTTGTGTGGAGGAAGGACTTTTCCTGAGCCTTGGGGACATGGTTCTCAGGATGCTGTAACCAGGGCCCCAGCTCTGCCTGCCTGGGCTGTACCTCCCCTGGAGCACAGGAACACCTGTGGGGAGGATAAGGACACCTGGGACCATACCTGGGGTTTAAGTGGGGGGCTGAGGAACAGCAGCAATCTTGGCTATGCTGAAATCCCTGGCTAATTCAAGGGCTTCATGCTAGCCCAGGGCACAGGGAACCATGAGATTTTGGAGAGATTCTTTTCCTCTATCTGCTGGTACCCTGTGCTCTTTATGGACTGGGTGAAGCAGTTTCTCAGGACACAGCCAGAGCAGCTCAAACCTGTCACAGCACATGTCACAGGTGAGATGGCCATGACACACAAAGTGTCACCATACAATATCAGAAGGCTTCAACCCATACAGAGTAGCACCACACCACTTCAGAAGGCTTCAAGCATCAGCCCTTCTTGTTCTTTAGCCCAGCCTTTTACACCCTCATGTTTATGCATTGCACTGTGTGCCCTCTGTTGCCTCTGTGGTTGCTCAGCACACCTGGGCACTCCATGGCTCAGTGCTGCCTGTGCTGCTCACCTGCTTCTCACAGCTGCACCCACTGGGGATGGGGCTGAGCCAGCCCCACTCCCAATGACCCCAAACTGTACCTACACAAACCCTGCTGCACCTCTGACATGGGGTGAGCCCAGAGAGGGCTTGGCAATAACACAGGGGATGGTTCAGGGGGTCAGTGCACAGAGAATGGAGAGAACTCCCACAGGGGCCAGGTAAGTGTGGAACAAATGGAGCTGGTAGAAACTGAGATCAAAAGGCAGGAAACCTGCTTAACTGATCATAATCTGCATCAGACAGCTGAGCTGGAAAAACTCCCAGCACCTGATGGGTAATCTGGGAGGAGGTGCCAACACCCCTGGCCAAGTGTGATCCTGCTGCTGCTCCTGCATGCCTTGGGAGACCCTCAGGCAGCCCTTGGCCTGAGCCTGCCCTGAGAGCTCTCCTCTGGACAGCAGATTGAAAGCAAGAGGAAAATGGTGTGTGTCCTGCTGTCAGGGAGTGCAGAAACACTGTCCAGGTGCAGTTTGGCAGTGGGCAAGGAAGGACTTGAGGAGGGGGATGCTGAATAAAGCCTGTCTCACAACTCAAACCTCGATGGGTGCCTCAGAGACACCATTAAAGGTAACAGTGTTACACCAAATTACCTGAGAAGGCAAAGTCCTGGGCCATGCATTCACCTGCAGGGAGCTTACAAAGCTCCACACCTCTCCGAGTGCCTGAGCATCACACAGGAGTCCCACAGAGAACACAATTCCACCCCAAATCACCTGGCTGGGCAGGCTGGGGCTTGAGGAAGGGCTGACCTGGCACTAGGAGCAGGGGGATTTCTCTGCCAGGGTGATGGAAATGCAGCAGGTGAAAGGATGTCACTTGAGATCTGCCCCTTTTCCTGCTGCTGGGCCAGGAAACAGATTTGTTCCTGGTGCCAAGGGAGGGAAGTGGGCAGGGAAGACCATTGGGCAGCAATTCAGCTGCATTTTGGGGAGCCATGGCGTGGGGAAGGGGTAGGTCATGCACATGTCTTCCAGCAGGAAGATTGAGCCTTTTTTCCCTGCATCTCACACTGAGTCATGTCAGGGCTCATGACATGGGTGGGCACAGACTGGGCATTTCCCATCTCCTTCCCAGCCCTCACTGCCCAAGTGGGTGCCCAATGCCCATTGGCAAGGGCAGCTTTGAATACCTTCATAGTACTTCAAAATACTTCCCAGAGTATTTCCATCTCCATGCTTTATGACAAAATGTTTTTCCATGTTCTATATTTCTGCCTCTGGATTTATCAGTTAAAAAGACAACCTAATAAAACTCAAATATTATTTTGTTCTGATTTCAGAAAAAAAAAACAAACCAAGAATTCAAAATCCCCACCCTCATGTAACAAAAGGCAATTGGAAACACATCACTTGCAAACTGCACTTGGGAATCTCCCCTGCTAGAGAGAAGGGAGGTCTGGGTTGGATATGGGGGAAAATTTCTTCCCTGAAAGGTGCTCAAGCACTGGCACAGGCTGCCCAGGGAGGTGGTGGACTCACCATCCCTGGAGGTGTTCAAGAAACAAATATACATGGCAATTCATGATGCAGTTTAGTGGGCTCACTGGGGTTTGATCAGAGGTTGCACTCGATGATCTTGGAGGTCTTTTCCAACCTTTATAATTCTATGATTCTGCTTTGAGGCTGTTGAGAAGGTGTTGGCTGAAGGTGGAGAGGAAAGCAAGCTGTAGAATGCTGTAGGTGGCTGTGCACCAAGCCATCAAGGTGTGTCTTTAGCAAGAAGAGTTCAGTGGTGCATGTTTGGAGCAAGCCCAGCCCTGCCCACAAAGGATGCACAGCCAGGACAGAGGCTCTGTTTATTTCAGGGTAGTTCCACCAGTGCTGTGTCTGACAGGGTGGACATTTGTGTGCAGCTGAAAGGCAAACCACACTCCCAGCATCTGCCAGCTGCAGTTCCTCCACATAACTTGCTCTTCTGGTTCAAGATCTTGCACCTCTCAAAAGCCAAAGCTGCTTTCTGTGGGTGAAATCTGCCTGGAGCCAGCAGCAGTGGCCACCTGGAGCAGCCAGTGCAGCACCTCACCTTGCTGCTCCCCAGGCTCCAAAGCCACAGTCGGGGCTGGCTGGGCTGTGCTCATCCCGAGGGATGCTCACGCTGCTGCTCTGTGGCCTGGCAGCATCAGGAGGGGTTTTTTTGGTGAAGGTGTCCCCGAGGCTGTGCAGGAGAGGTCCGAGCAGGGAGCCACAGGCCCGGCGGGAGCCCTGCGCTAGCGGGCTGCCCCCTCTGGCAGCTGGGAGGCGTAGAGAGCCAGCGTGTGATGGAGGAACTGGTACTGCTCGCTCGTCTGGATCATCCCACCTCTGCAAGGGAAAGGCAGGGCCCACTGACACTTCACAGACACAGAACCCTGCTCCAGCTCTCTGCTCCCAGGGCACAAACATTTCCACTGCACCAGCCATGTCAAGATGCTTCTGAAACAGGCAGCAGAGCAGCCCAAAGAATAGAGGGCTTCAGAAGCATTGCTGGGCTGTTCAAAATGAGATTGGCAGCTGATTTGGTGCTAATTTTCACCTGTACTTCTTGAAGAGTGGCCAGGTGGAGTGTTTCTGGATTTAGTGGCTGAGCAGGGCGGGAGGAGCAGATGGCTGCCAGGTTCACAGCCCCTCTCCTCTCCCTCATGTCCTCATGTCAGAGCTACAGCAGCTCTGACTGCAGAACCAGCCTGGCACTGGGAATTGTTTGCTATCCACACACCTGCATCCCCCAGGCACCCTTCTGGTTTCCAGCAGAAACAGTCCCTGTGCCCCCTGGGATGCCCATCCCGTATCTCTGCCACATCCCTCCCCCAGCCCTGCTGTCAGGCTGGCACCCAGCAGGACCCTGCAGGGAGCCCCCTGCCCTGTGTACCCACCTGTCTATGCGCAGATGGCACACGATGCCCAGGATATCCACCTCCCCCGTGTCCTGCAGCTGCTGGCACCCGATCCTGGTGGCAATGAAGCAGCCGGTGCGGCCGATGCCCGCGCTGCAGGGCAGACACAGCTGTGAGCACCTTCAGCACCCACTGCCTGCACCTGCATTGCTGAGCTGGTGCACTCCTAGATTGTGATTTCTGCCTGGAGGGATGCTGGGCTCCTGGCCCAAGCTGCCAGGCCAGGGTTCTGAGCCAGGCACCAAAGCCATGGGCTGGGGTCACTCTGCCATGGCAGGGAGTTCTTGCTGTGTGGCACAGCCCGGCTGAGGCTGCTCTGCAAGCACAAAACCATTCTGTGCCCATCCTTGTGCAGTGCAGGGGGGCTCTGCAGCCCCTCCCCTCCCAGCTGGGCTCTAACCCCAGCACCAGGTTTGCACTCAGCCTGCAGCAGTGCATGCTGCACGTTCCCTAGGGACACACGGGTGCTGTGCTCCACTGTCCCTCAGCAAGGAGAGAATAGGCAGAGGCCACCTCCTGCAGGAGGGCTGTCCTGAAACATGGCCACATCCAAGCCACAGGCCCTGCTGGGCGGCACAGGGAGCAGGAATGGGACAGGTTCAAAGGGACCAACCACGGGGTCACCTGGTTCCATCTCTCTGCTCAAGCAGGATCTTCCAGAGCTGGAGCTGTGGGTGTAGGGTGGGGCTGGTGGCTGGGTCCCAAATGCAGATCCCTCCTGCTCCCACCCTGCTGGACCCCAGTGCAGGATATGCCACTCTAATGCCACCATCGTGCTGCCAGGACAGGAGCTGCTGATTGACAGCTCTGCTGGGGGTGGCTGTGCCCTGGGATTCCTGCACCACTGTGGGACCTGTATGTGAGGACTCACAGGGGACTGACCCTGGGGAGAAGCACAGACAGGGCTCAGGGAGGTGCAAGCTCTCACCTGCAGTGCACCACGATGGGCCCTGGGCTGGCTGCAGTCTGCAGAGCCTCCTCCACCTTGGCCACCAGGTGCAGCAGGGGCTTGGCTGACTCAGGTGTCTGCTGGTCCGGCCAGGAAGGGAAGAGGATGTGCTTGACCTTGCGGCATTCCTTCCCAAGCTTCTCCAGCACAGGACAAAGAGAAATGGGGATGTGAGGGCACGGGCCAGATGAAATGGGGAGTTCAGCTCAGCAGAGCTCAAGCAGCTCATACTCATCTCTGCCACTTTCCTCCTGAATCCCTCTCTGAGCCTCTGCCAGACATGAGGGAGACCCCTGGGCCAGAGCCAATGGATGTGTCCCATCCCAGAGGGTGAGAACAGATGCAGAGTGTTCACATACTGTCCCAGAATCCAGGCAAAGCAAGCCAGATCCTTCAGGCTGGTGTCAACCCAGGGTGACACAGAGCCCATAGGGCAGAGCCCAATGACACAGTGCAAAAACACCAGACTGGTGCTGCTCTGCCCAGCTGACCCCTCTCCAGCACTCCAGGGCTGGCTCCTGCTCCCTCCCAGCCTCCCCAGGCTCTGCACACCCCTCCTCTGGCAGGGCCCTCCTGAGAATCATGAACCCTCCTCTTTCCTGTCACAGAGCATTGCCATCTCATTGCTGAGAGCTCTCAGCCCAGAGATGCCAGGGGTGTCAGGTTTGTGACAATGAGTGTTTGGGCTATTTTTGAGATTTCTAGGGCTAAAGCAATGCCTAGGGCTGTTACAACCAAGGCAGTTATTTTAATGGAAATGGGTATAGTTGTTGGAGGGGTTTTTGTGGGGATAATAAATGAAGTGATATTATCAGGGGCACTGCTGGGCCCCAGGTGCTCCCTCTGTGCCCCCAGGATGAGGCTCAGACCCACCTGGATGGAGAGATCCCGCACCACGTACTCCACACACTCGCTCACCCCCCTGCACGTGGATGGTGAAGGGGCCATAGGTGCCCTCCTTCTCGGGCCAGTAGTGGACACATTTCTGGAGAACAAGGCAGGTTTGTGGCTGTGGAGATGCTCAAGGCACCCAAGGACCCTCGTCAAGGATGTTTGAACTGTGCTTGAGTCAGTGCTGGTGAGAGGGGTCCTCACCTTGGGGAGGTAGAGTGATACAGAGGGAAAGCAAAGAAGGGATAGATCCCTACCCCTGCACCCTCTCCCATGCTCTGCCCTGGCTTTCAGGCCCCAGGGATGCATATCCCTGCTCAGCCCAGGAAGCTTCCAGATGCAGCAGGACCCAGGGCAGAGGGAGAGAAGGGAGAGAAGGGAGAGAAGGGAGCATAGACATGGCCAGGAAAGGATTTCCAGTTCTCAGTTCCCCCAGGCAGGTGCTGTTGGCTCCCATCCCAGAAGCACAAGCAGTGGGCAGCAGTGCCCCCTCCCCTGGGCTGGATCCCCTGGCTGAGAGCTCTGGGGGGCCAGAGGGGCACTGCTGCCCACTGCTTCTGCCCCATCCCTGGGGGCTGCCCTAAACCCTTTATCCAGCTTTAACCCTTTATTATCCAGCTGGTAAAGAGTGCCCAGAGCACACAGCCATGTGAGGAGGAAAACCAGATAGGGCCAAGGCTGCAGCCCTGGGGATCTCCTCCTCCCCTTGTGATTCATCAGGGAACCCTCTGAGACAAAAGCACAGTGAGTGGGTGCACAGCCCCACATTTGGCCTCACCCAGCCCTCTGCTGCCATCAGCACCCCCCTCCCGCTGTGCCCAGGGCTGGGCAGGCTCCCGGGTACCTCCTTGCGCTCCTGGAGCTCGGTGATCATGACGATGAGGGGAGCCTCCTCCTGCCACACCATCTGCCAGAAGTCGCTCACGGTGTTCAGCAGGGGGCCCTGTGTGGCGATGTACTCCCGGGGCCGGCCCGCGTAGCCCTGCCGAGCACAGCCCGTCAGGGACCGGGGCACCCTGAGGGCACCGGGGCTGTGCCCGGCTCACTCCAGCCCCCACCACGCTTTAGAGGCTGAGCTACACGTGCTGTTTCTTACTAAATCTGTCCTTAAAATGCTTTTATAGATCTGCTGAGGAGCCACCAGGCATCCTTCCCACCCCACTGGTCCCATCACCCAGGAGCAAGTCCGTGCTAGCACACCCAAAGTCACTGTCAGTGTGGCAATAGCTGATGGATGCCTTGGCGAGGCAAAGCTCACACAAGGAGCTGCACTCCTCACAAGGGGTATTTCCACAAGGACAAGCAGGAATCCCTGCTTCACAGCCCCAGGCATCCTCTGTCTCCAGACACTTCTCCTGGTATAAAATTGCCAAAGGTACAGAAAAGCCAGGCCTTCCCAGCAATCTGTTAATGCTTTGGTCTCACAAGAAGCTGCACTGGGCCAGCTAAGGGACAGGAATGTTTTCAGGAACGTTTTGCAGAGCCCTATTTTCATGCCTTGAAATGATTTATTTTTCCTAGGAAATGTGATTTTCCATTCAGGAGTGTCATTCCCTGGGGGTATCAACCCTGGGAATTCCACCTTCCCCCCACAGCCATGCTCAAAAGCATTTCATGGAACACCTCAGAAGGAAGAGCATCAATCCCAGGTGGGGCTGATGTGATCAAACACCTGCAGAGCCCTCCCAGATTCCTGCTCCTCCCAGGCATGCCCAGGCAGGCTGGGTTGCCAATTTTCTGATGTGCCCACAAATTCCTGCACCGCTACACCTCTGAGGAGGCAAGGGGAAGGAAGGGGTCAGGAAATAGCAGCTGCACACAGGGCGGTGTGGGCACAGGTGTGTGTGCCACAGGGATGGGCAGTGCTTGTGCATTGCCAGCAGTCAGCTGAGACAGAGGGGATACAACAAGAGGGGGAGATGTTGGAGTTGTGGATGCTGAGAGTTTTAAACTTTCTGTGCTGACAAACTCTGACCCCTCAGGGGAACACTGTTTGACCTGGGGCTGTAGAGAGGGCTTCAAAAGCTGATTGATAGCACTAGGATTATGAGTTCAGTTAGAATATCACTGAGTAGAAAACTTAGAGTTTTAGAATACAGTAATATCTCTAGAACTAAAACCAGAAGTTTTAAAGCAGTTACTAGTCCTACTTCTTCATAAGTTTAAGTAGTGTTTTGTAATTAGACAAAAAAGCCCACATTGTGGACTTTGATAATTATTTGAGTTATTGAGCTAAAAGTGAAAATAATTTAGGTGTCATTTTTTAATTAAATAGTTTAGTTTTAAAAGATCTTGTAAAGAAAAGCCCAGCATTCCTGGGTGTCCCACACCTGGGGTGTAGGGACAGGGTGGCAGTGTCACCTGAGGTGTCACAGCTCCTCTGCTGCCCCTGGAGCTCCCAGCAGCTCTGGGCACAGTACTCCTGTCCCAGGGAGCTTTCACCCTCCCTGCTGGGTGCTGCTTGCTGCTGTGGGTCTGAGCCACAAGCAGCACCAGGAAAAAATGCTCCTGACTGCCCTCCAGCACTTTTTGTGGGCTGCTTTTCCACGTCCTGCTTTCCCTCACTGCCTCACTCACAGCACCAACAGTCCCCCTCTGCTTCCCTGGCCCTGGGCAGGCCCAAGGGCAGGGTGCTGCAGTGAGATCAGTGGCTCAGCCAGGACCCTGGGCAGGCCCAAGGGCAGGGTGCTGCAGTGAGATCAGTGGCTCAGCCAGGACCCTGCCCCAAGGGCAAAACTGGCACCTGGCTCACAGAGATCCCCTTCTGGCAGAGACTGCAGCCTGGAAGGGTTTGCACAGGGATGGAATCAAAAACAAATTGTCTAAGTAACACCCTAAGGTCTGGGGATTTCTCAGTCTCTGGAAAGGAACCCCACCACGTGCCAAAAATAAGCCACACCCCATTTTCATTAGTTCCCTTCCTGGGAAATTGCAGCAAGCCCCCTGAGCAGAGAAAAAAATCCCAGGATGAGTGAGGTTTGAGGATCTCTGAGCTGCCATAACCTGCTGACACAGCTTGCCTCCCATGCCTGTGCCAGACCATGGACCAGTGTGTGAGGAGCAGATGGAGAAGCCACTGCCAGGGAGCCTTTTGGGGTGCTCAGTGTGCCCAGGAGTTGAGAGCAGCTCCCTCATGAGACTCTCCCAGCACAGGAACAGCACATCTGCCCTGTGCAGATGGAGCCACATCTCCAGCTCCAGCAGGAGTGGCAAGTCAAGTCTGCAGCCCCAGGGCAGCCACAGGAGAGCAGGTGACAGTGCCCAGCATGTGTGAGCAGTGTGGCACCTGCAGCCTGATGCCCTGGGAGCCCTGGGCTGCAGCCCTGGGAGGAGAGGACACTCACTGTGATGTAGTTGGCATTTATGTAGCTGTCTTCCTCCTGGCTCCCAGCCCTCCTGAGGCAGACCCGGCTCTCAGGATCTGAAAGATGCCACAGGTCTCACCCAAGGGACTGATCCTGCCCATCCTCCCTGCTTCAACCCCAGGGGCTGGAGGCTGAGTCCTCCTGCTCCATGCCATGCCCAGAGCTGTCTGCACCCTCCCTCAGGCATGTTTTTGTCCCACTTTAGCCTCAGGGCACGGCCCAAACCTGCAGGTGCCATAGTGAGCAGCTGGGGTAATTCACCTGCAGTGATCCCCTGGACATCCACAGAACCTTAAAAGATCTTGTAAAGAAAAACCCAGCATTCCTGGGTAACTAGAGCCCAGCTGAGCCCCTCCACAGCACCCTCAGCCTTTACCCTCTCAGGACCATGCCCTTGGGACATGGAAGGCCCCAGGAGTGCTGCACACCTGGGTGGGAGCAGCTCCCCATGTACCCCAAGCACTGTGCACACCATGGGCAGAAGGAGCAGCAACAGCACCCAGGGGTGCCCACCCCAGTGCCACAGCTGCTCTGAGCCACCCCTCACCCACAGGCAAATGGGAGGCAAAGGGACACAGTGGCACCTACTGGGGAGAATGGTTTTGTATCTGTCCTTGAAAGCACGCCCAGGGATTTCCAGCTCCTCCGGACTCACAAAGTTGGGTGGGATTTTCTGCAGGGGGAGAAAACAGCCATGAGGAAAAGCCCATTGCTGCCACTTGTGTCCCCTGCTGGTGGCAGACCTGGCTGCCCAGCAGGGCAGAGCTGGCCCAGGGGCATCAGCAGAGATGCCAGCTCCTGGGATGAGTCTGGCTTTACTCCAGCTGTGGTGGAACTCCTTCCAGAGAGGCAGTGCTGGGAGAAGAGCATGGCATGGGAGGGCAGGACAGGGTTTTGCAAGGACCTCAACAGGACACATGTGCACCAGGGACCAGGTGGCACCTGGGCATCCCTCCCCTGTTTGCCCACACCTCCTGCCCTCCCACTGAGGCTGTGGGGCACAGCTGGGCTCAGAGCCTGATGTTCACCCTGTCAGCCCCACCACTGCCAGCCCCTGAGATCACAGGAGGGAAAATCGTGATCATCGCACCGAAAACTCCTCCTGGAGCTGTGCCAGGCTCTGGGCGTGCTGCTGGAGCTCCTGTTTCCTCAGCACGTGGCTGGATGTCCTCAGAAACTTCAGTGTGATGTCCCGTGGCGTGCAGACAGGCTGGATGGGCTCCACGTTCCCTAGAGAGCTCATATCCAGCACTAGTGACACATTGGAGCCCCTCCTGCAAGGCACAGGGGTCCCTGGCTGACCTACTGCCACCCTGGGACAGAAGGACAGCCCACCCCACTGCATCATCAGTTAAAACCACCCCACACTGGGCAAAGGCCAGATGGAGACCCCAGCAGATGGGGAGATTGAGGAACAGGAAGTAGCTGAACATTTTGCCTTCCTGCTGGGGAGAAGAGTCCCCTGAAGGACTGAAGGTGTTGGGATTTGTCCTGGGCTGGGTGAGTGCCAGGGCTGCCTCTGCACTCAGAGCTGGCACTGCAGGCAGAGGGCTGGCAAAGGAATGTCAGGGGAGCCCTGGGATGAGCAGTGCCATGGGCACCCCGAGGCACACTCACCTCTCCTGGAGTCGCACGTGCTTCTTGGCAGGGGGACTGGGCTTCTCTGCCTTGTCCATGTCCTCTGCAGCTGCCTGGGCTGCCAGGCTGCCCCTATGAACTCTGGAGCACACCAAGCAGGCTTGGACCATGCTGCAGCAAGCACAGAGCCCTCGTCCTGAAGCACAGCAGGGCCACACAGGGGGCTCTCAGCTCCTGGGAGAGCATGGAGCCATCAGAGGAGAAGCAGCTGGAAAAGAAAAGTCAGATCTGTGAGACACCACAAGGCTGGATGGAGCCCCCACAGATGGTCTGCAAGCAAGGGATTTTAAGTGCTCAGTTGTCCTGGAAGCAGGACCCCAGCCCCTGTATGCAGGCAGATATCCTGGAGAGCTCCCAGCACAGTCACCCTCCCTGCAGCACTGCAGCCCACACTGGTGACCCTGGGCATGACACCAAGGGCCACCTGCCTCCCCTGAGGGGAGGACACCCACTCTGTGGTGGCAGGCACAGCCTGGTTTGGGGGAGCCCCAGATGCTCTCCACCTCCATGGAAGCACATGCCCTGTGTTCCCAGCCCTTCTCCATCACATCCCCCTGCCTCACCCTGGGGACATGGTGGGGAGCTGGGAGCTGGAATGTCTGAGCACAGCAGTGCTCAGCAGGTGACAAGAGGTGGCTGTAGCCACTGCACAGAGCCTGGCCATCTCCTGCTGCAGGGACACACAGACCAGGCACCCTCAACAGCCCCATGGCCCTGGGACAGCCTCCTCCACCCTGCAGGTCACAGCATCTGTTGAGAGGAAACTGCTCTATCCGGGTGGTTGAGCAAAAGGCCGTGGGGCAGCCCAGCTGGGGAGGGTGCCAGACATCCTCCATCACCAGGGCTGGGGAGATGCAGGTGATGCTGACTCACCTCTGGGCACAGCTCCTCATGGTGCAGGCAGCACCCTGGGATCCTGAGCCTCCTCCTCATCCCCTGCTTCCTCCATGAGCAGGAGGCAGACCCAGAGCCAGGGAATGATGCAGAGTCAGAGATCTTGGTGGGCAAAGAGTGGGATCCCAGGCAGCCCATCTGCTCGGGGAGGTTTTGTAGAGAGCTGGTGTCCACATGGTGGCTGGGAACACAGCTAGGGCAGGAGCTGCTCCCCAGGATTCCCTGCTGCCCAGTGCCATTTCTGAGAGTGGCAATGCCACCACTGCCACTCACACCATCCCCGTGCCCCATACAGGGTGTTCTCAATACAGGCAGGACAAGAGCAGCTGCTGACCAGACACAGCCCAGGTTCCCATCCCAGTCTGGCCAGGAAACACCTGGGAGATGCCAGGGAAGCACCTCAGCTCACATGGCCTGTCCAGCATCCTGGCCTGCCTGGCGCTGCCATCCACACGCACATGCCCATTGCCCCTGGCACAGGCCTGGCACTGCCTGGGGGCTCTCCTGCCTAGACTGGCACTGCCTGGGGGCTCTCCTGCCCAGCCTGGTGCCCAGGGGCTCTCCTGCCTAGCCTGGGTGCCCTGAGGGCTCTCCAGCTTATCCTGGGTGCCCTGAGGGCTCTCCTGCCCAGCCTGGTGCCCAGGGGCTCTCCTGCCCAGCCAGGTGCCCTGGGGGCTCTCCTGCCCAGCCTGGGTGCCCTGAGGGCTCTCCTGCCCAGCCTGGCACTGCCTGGGGGCTCTCCTGCCCAGCCTGGGTGCCCTGAGGGCTCTCCTGCCCAGCCTGGGTGCCCAGGGGCTCTCCTGCCTATGCTGGGTGCCCTGGGGGCTCTCCTGCCCAGCCTGGGTGCCCTGGGGGCTCTCCTGCCTAGCCTGGGTGCCCTGGGGGCTCTCCTGCCCAGCCTGGCACAGCCTGGGGGCTCTCCTGCCCAGCAGCTGGGTGCCCTGGGGGCTCTCCTGCCCAGCCTGGGTGCCCTGGGGGCTCTCCTGCCCAGCCTGGTGCCCTGAGGGCTCTCCTGCCTATCCTGGGTGCCCTGGGGGCTCTCCTGCCCAGCCTGGCACTGTCCAGGGGCTCTCCTGCCCAGCCTGGTGCCCTGGGGGCTCTCCTGCCCAGCCTGGCACTGCCCAGGGGCTCTCCTGTCCAGCCTGGTGCCCTGGGGGCTCTCCTGCCCAGCCTGGTGCCCTGGGGGCTGCCTACCTGCTGCCCTGCCGTGAGGGCTCCTCGGTCCCGGCCCAGGCCCGCGGGCACGGCACGCTCAGCCTGACAGCGCGGTTTGAAAGTGTTCAGGAAGCCGCTTATCAAAGGAGCTGCTGCCTCTGCTGCTTCCTCTCCCTCCTTCTCCCCCACCCCGGCAGCCACCCACACACATACCGGCCACAGCTCCGCAGCTCGGCCCGGCCCGCCCGGCCCTGCTCCCCCCGGCCCGCCTGCCCCGGGCACGGCCCGGCCTCCCCGGAGGGCTCCACAGGAGCTCTGACAGGGCTGTGGGGTGAGCTCGATGGCCTCTGTCACACGCCATGGCCAGCCCTGCTGCCACCCTGGGGCACGGAGGGATGGGCAGGAGGCAGCCATGAGGGCAGGAGGCGTGAGGCGGGCTGCTCGGCATGGTGCAGTGGGGCTGCTCTGCGGGCACCACAGCCCCTCAGGAAGCCAGGGTGAATGCTCCCATGCTGCAATGAATGCTCCCATGCTGCCGTGAATCCTCCCATGCTGCCATGAATCCTCCCATGCTGCCATGAATCCCCCCATGCTGCCGTGAATCCCCCCATGCTGCCATGAATGCTCCCATGCTGCAATGAATGCTCCCATGCTGCCGTGAATCCTCTCATGCTGCCATGAATCCCCCCATGCTGCCGTGAATCCCCCCGTGCTGCAATGAATGCTCCCATGCTGCAATGAATGCTCCCATGCTGCCGTGAATGCTCCCATGCTGCCATGAATGCTCCCATGCTGCCGTGAATCCTCTCATGCTGCCATGAATGCTCCCATGCTGCCATGAATCCCCCCATGCTGCAATGAATGCTCCCATGCTGCCGTGAATCCTCCCATGCTGCCATGGATGCTCCCATGCTGCCATGAATCCCCCCATGCTGCAATGAATGCTCCCATGCTGCCATGAATCCTCTCATGCTGCAATGAATGCTCCCATGCTGCCATGAATCCTCCCATGCTGCCATGAATCCCCCCCATACCTGCTGTCCTCTTGCCTAGGCCATGCCCTGGCTGTTCCCCATGCTCCTGGAATGTGCCAGGGCTTGCTCAGTGCCTCCCACCCTCGGTGCCTGCCCTCGTGCTCCTTTGCCACCCCACAGACCCAGCCCCTGCCGATGTTGGGACAGCCCTCTGCACCCACCACCACCCCTCAGTACCTCAGGGTAGGACAGGTGGGCTCCCCATCCCCAGCAGGAAGGGCAGGGGTGGATTTGGGGTCGCAGGTCCCTGGCCTGGCTCAGGTAGGCCAGGTCTGCCCTTGGGGCACTGCACATCCTTCCTGACACATCCCCACTGCTCTTCCTGTTTGCTCGTGCCGGGCTCTGCAGCTTCCTTCCTCCTCAGCCCTCACCCCGCTGTGCTGCAGCAGCTCCTGCTGCACCCCAACAGCCCCACGGACCCCAAACCCTTCCCTGTGTCTGCTCCAAGGGCTGGCCACAGTCATCCCAGCCCAGCTCACTGAGGTGACTGTGCTGTCACCTCACCAGAGAGCTGTGTGTCTGTGCACACCTGTGTGTTTGCAGGTGTGCCAGAACAGCTTCCCTGGGCGGCCCTGCCAGTGCCACCCAGTGCCACCCAGTGCCACATGAGGGCTAGGACACCAGAGGGCCCAAGGTCCAGAGCAAAGTGCAGGGCTTGGCCAGCAGCAGAACAGCTTTATCCTGGAGAAAGACCACTAGCACTTGTGTCTTACCTGCAGATCCTTGAGTAGCCAGAGGACAGATTGAGGAATTCTCTGTGGGATGAAAGAACACATCTGTAAGGCCTGGAGGCAGCCCCACCACACACTGTCCTTCTTTCCCACTGTCCCTGACAGAGCTCAGGAATTGCTGGGATGACCAGCACTGTGGCACTAAACAAGGTGTCTGCAGAAACTTGCTCCCAGTAGGAACCAGAGCAAACAAACAAGGATCTGTGCTGGAGTAACAGGCTGCCAGACATGCAGACACTTCCTGAGGCTGGGACTGGGTCTGTGCTCTAAGTGTGGGGGGCACCTGTCCCATCTGGGTGTCTTTGAGCTCAAGGGGTTCCTGAGGATAGAGTGTCTCAGCTTGGAAATGGGGGTGTGTGTTCTATCCCCATCTGTCAGAGCTGGGGCAGTTGTCTGCTGTTCTTGGGGCAGTTTTCTTATCTCTCCCACAATCAATCCTCCCTCCAGGAGATCTCTGCTGTCCATGGCCACTGAGTGTCCCTGCAGGGCTGATCCAATTCCATCATCCCATGGGGAGATGCTCCGCCCAGGGGAGGAGCCAAGCATTCCTACCTGGGTACAATCTGAGCCTGGACCAGCACAGCAGCCTTTGCCCAGTGCATTCCCAGAGGAGCAGCTTCTGCTGCCCTGCATTGCCAGAGGGAGCCCAGGCCCATCTGCAGCAGCCCTGGAGCTGCAGAGGAAAACTCCCCCCTTGTGCAGGATCCCTGCTCCAGCAGAGCCACAGCTGGCACTGCAGGAGGGCTGAGCCCCCATGGGATGGGGCTGTGCCACCCCCTGACACACAGGGGGCAGGGACTGCTCTGACTCTGGCAGGGGTTTGGTTTCTTTGTTGTACTATTGCATTTGTATTTTTAATTTTCCTAGTAAAGAACTGTTATTCCTACTCCCATATTTTTGCCTGAGAGCCCTTAATTTCCAAATGATAATGATTCAGAGGGAGGGCGTTTACATTTTCCATTTCAGGGGAGGCTCCTGCCTTCCTTAGCAGACACCTGGCTTTTCAAACCAAGACATTCCTCTTGCCAGGTGCTGCCTTGGTCATGAAATGCCCCTGGATGCTGCAGGAAAGATGCTGATGCACTTCCTTTGCAAAATGGCTTATTTGTTTCCACTCAGATTTGGTCATGACAAAGGACCCCCCTCAGGGTTAAAAGGGGAAGCTGAGATGCTGGGATGCAGTGTGTCCTCTGCCTCTGGAGCATCACAACACCAAGGTCCTCCTGGATGTCCTCAGGAAATCCTTGCAGCACTTTCCCTCTGCTGCTCAGAGCTCCCTGTGCTGCTGGCTTGGCTCTGCCAGTCACACACCTGCCTGTGCCAGCTGCAGCTAAGCAGGACACCCAGGATGCAGCCTCTGGAAACTACACCTGGCCCCTGGGGCTGCTCCTTATGCAGAAAACTTCAGTGGAGACTGAAGGGACTGTCCTGGCCATGGCCACTCACCCAGGGTAGGAGAACATGGTAGGGATGTTGTGTGGGGATGTGCCATGGCCTAGGCTCCTAGGGGCAGAAACGTTTGCACTGCTCAGATGTCCTGACCCTTACACAGCTCTGATGGTGCACAACGGGAGCCCAGTGTGCTCCCACCTGCCAGCATGGCTGCTCTTCCTCCCCTCTGCCAAAGCACCAGCATGCTGAGGAGGTGCATGAGAAGGGAGAGCACTGGAGGGAACACAGAGCTGTGGAGACCACAGCAGGAAAATGAAGGTGCTGGTGGAAAAGGAGACATGAGCTGGTAGAGAGAGACTAGATGTCAGGGAGACCAGGAGCAGAGGGAGTCAGAACACACTGCATGACCCAGGGCATTTTTCATTTCTCAGTGCCACCTGGGCAGCAAGCTGTCCCCTGTACCTTGCTGCACCCACCTACGTCTGTTGCCCTGCTGGGACTGAGCCCTGTGCCTCCTGCCCGCTGGGCACACAGCAGGTGCACACACCTGCACATGTCCCTGGTCACTCATCAGTGCCCATCCCTGCTGGTGGGCAGAGACCTCGAGCAGGGAACTCCAGACATGCCCTCCCTCCTTCCTTCCCTCCCCTGGAATGCACCTGCTTGGAGCAGGATGCTGCCAGCTGGCTCCTCCTGAGGGACCCTGGCTGGGCTCACAGAGGGGTGTGAGCAGTGGGGAGCAGAGAGCTGGGGAATGCTCTGGCCAGGACTGTGCCTTTCATGTGCAGCCCTGCTTGTCCCATGTCACATCACCAGCTCTGCAGCATTGGAGCAGAACTGCTGGATCCTACAAGCAGGGACTGCTGGGGCCAGGGTACACCTGGCTTTGAGGGGAGATAGTGTCCAGGCTGGGGGCAGATCCCAGCCCAAGGTCAGTTTGCTGTAAGGACAGGACCAGGACACCAAGACAGCCACTGCAACCTGGTGTGAGCTAAGAGGAACATGACAGTCTCCAGGGGCAAAACCCAGAAAGGGATGGGAGGAAGCAGCACTGAAGGAAATGGCTCCAGGCAGGTCACTGCTGTGCCCTTCACCTTCCTGCCTCCCTTGCGTGAGGTCCCAGAACAGGAACATCCCTTGTCCCCCAGCATTCCTTTCTGCTCTGACCTTGGTGGCAGTGGGGTGTCAGGGGTGATGGTGATGCCCAGAGTGCTGCTGGGAGGGTTGGTGATGGAGGGATGCACATGGAGGGAAGAGTCCCAGCTGTTTCCACACCAGCCATTCACCCTGACCCAGGCAGGGATGTGCCAGGCATGGGATCCCCTGTCTCCTCTGACCATGGGCATCTGTGCATTAGGATTATCTGTTGGGAGGTAAGGACTAGAGAGGTCTGTGACATAGTCTCAGGGTTCTTGAAGAGTCCTTATAGGTGTGGCTTTACTTTCAGCAAGATGTAGGGCCCCTATGGAGTTGGTGCTCTGGAAAGGAAGATCTGGATTTATCCCTGACTGGTACTTGCTGTTTGTTCACTTGCATTTTAAAACTACTTTTCAATGGGGTCATCTTGCACCTCTGGCCATGATTTCATAGCCAGTTCCCTCTATGCAAAGAGCACCATCCACCTCCAGACTGGGACCTATTTTCCCACTACTGACCAACCAATCCTTATGCCCATTTCTGCTCCCCATCCTCCTGAGGATGGGCTCCCTCACCCAGCCCCCCTGCCCTGATCCACACCCCAGCACCTCTCCCCCCTCTTCCCACAGCACTGCAGCCCCAAAGTCACCTCAACCTGGGCACCTCAGCACTGCCAGCTCAGTGGCAGTGCTGGCACCCAAAGCACAGACAGTGCCCAACACTTTCACTCCCCAGGGCTTTGTCCCACCAGGCCCCGTCACCTCTGGGTCCAGCACTCAGGAAGGGATGGT